TCTTAACCCTTGACTTGGTGTTGTCCGCACCATGCTCAGCCAGTGAGCGAACTGGCCATCCCTATATAGGATCCGAACCTGTGGCCTTGGTGTTAACAGCACCACACTCTCCCGAGTGAGCCACAGGCCTGCCTTTGTTTAGCTTTCTGAACTGTTTGCTAGAGGTGGTGGTCGTTCTGAAAGTCTGGAGTGCAGATAGCAGGCTGGCTCTCTGGGCCGGTTCCTGTAGAAGATGGGTTGGTTTTCTGGCCTGGTGGCTGCAGATTGCAGGTCAGAGTTCTATTTCTATGTGTGGTCTGACAATTGTCGATTTGTATTTTCAATCTCTTACAATGAAGGTTCAAATCAAGTCCTGAGAATTTTATATAAATGCCAAGACCAAAGTCCTAAAGTAATTGTATTGCATCTCATTTCATTTGTATTTTCAATCTCTTACAATGAAGGTTCAAATCAAGGCCTGAGAATTTTATATAAATGCCAAGACCAAAGTCCTAAAGTAATTGTATTGCATCTCATTTTCGCCAATAATTTTTCTACTAGATAACTAGAAAAAAGCTTACATTTGTTGAGCAATGGTTCTCGCTCAACCTCCTTGTTATATTGAGATTGTGTTAAAAATATATAGATAAACCAAATACGGCAAATGTTAAGTGTTGAATCTAGGTAGTGGTGTACAGATGCTAGTTGAACTATTTTTGAACTTTTATACACGTTAGAAAAATTTCAGAATAGGCAGTTGGGGAAAAAATGTTGGGCCTGCAGTTTTATTTAAACATAACACTGACCAGAGTTGCAGAATGTAAATCAACAGCTTGAATTGCAAACCCACAACTTTGTCTTTATTTATGTATGTACATATTTCTTTTTACAGAGCAGTGCCTAAGGGTTAGCGGTAGGCCAGTGTGGTCTGCCCAAGCTGGACAGCCCTGCTGCATGCTCCACGGGGACCACAGGTGATCAGCCCTTGCAGGAGCTGCTGCTCTGCTCCCCTACTTATATCCACACATGCCTGGGAAGCCATTCGCCAGCACTTGGGCTGCCTGTTCCCAGGCCCTCTCTCTGCACACACGCGGCCTCCCTCCTGGGTAGAATTGCTGCATCTCGCTTTATCTCCACTTCATCTCTGGCACAGCTGCCCTGTCATACTTGAGAGTGATCAACTCATCTATAGCCATACCACCCTGAACTCACCTGATCTTGGAAGCTAAGCAGCGTTGGGCCTGGTTAGTACTTGGATGGGAGACTTCCTGGGACCACTGGGTGCAAAATGCCTTCTGCAAAAATAAAAAGAGAGAGAGAGCGGTCAACTCAACTCTTACTCCCTGAGCTTCTTGGCCATCAGCCCCGAGCTCAGGATAGCCACACAGAACCAAATGCTAACAGGTGTCTTGATTTTTGTTCCTTTCTAAGTGAATTAATCATGTGTCTAGCTTCAAAGCACATGCAGGAGCCAGTCCCTTCTCAGCCCATCTTCACAGCCCTGGTCCCCTAGAACACGGCAATAGCCTCCTCCCTGGTCTTCAGCTTCCCTCTTGACCCCCCGAGTGTCCTCCATAGAGCAGCCAGAGTGGCCCTGTTAAAACTGAGCCAGTTTATTTCTTTGCTCCAGATACATGTACCTCAGAGAAAAAGCCAAAATCTTAGCTGTGGCCACAAGGCTGTGTGTCAGGGGTTGGCAAACTATAGCCCACAGACCAAACCTGGCCCACAGCCTGCTTTGTAAATATGTCTGATTGGAACACAGGCACCCACATTTGTTTACTATTATCTATGGCTTGTGTGCCACCACGGCTCATCTGGGACTGCCCCCGATGTGGCTGCAAAGATACAAAGTAGCCCCACGGAGAGGCCAACAGGCAGCACCATGCTGCCAGCCACAGCAACGTCCCGCCTCAGAATGGCGTCCTCAGCCCAGCGGGCCCCAGATGACTGTGGCCCTGGCTGACATCTGACACACCAAGTGCAGCCGTTCCCAAGTGCCTGACCCCTAGACGCCGTGGGCATAATGTGAGGTTTATGCCACTGCGTGTTACAGCAGAACAGCGTGCAGTCTTGTTCTGCCACACGGATATCTGTATATGCACCAGGGGTCTTCAAAAGGTTCACGGAAAGTTTCATTTTACCTTTTCATTCCATTTTTCACTACCTTTTTGAAGTACCCTCATATATATATATATATATATATGCGTTTGTGTAACTATATGAATGTATGTATAACACCTTATAGAAACGCATAAGCGTGGACTTTGTTTTACTTTAATTCTTTTTCTTCTTTGCTTGGTTCCACACTTCCCCTTCCTCTCCCATCTGCATCTTACCTCCCACACATCCTGTATCAGCAACCTAATTTGTATTAACGTTTTCTCCATATTCTCCCTCCATACTCATATGTAATAATAGTCAAGCATAGACATGCACACGGATACATAGGCACCGACACGCGTGCATAGATAGAGGTTTTTGGTTCGTTTG